ATAATCGCACATTTTTGATCTGTTCTAAATGTACCTTAGAGGAATATTTTTCAAGTTTTTAATACTCTTATCAACATATGAGTGGACAAATATGCTTTATGCAAATGTTCATTATCATTTGAACAAGGACAAATATTCTCATGAATATTAAACACAACAACCTCTGAACATTACAAATATTTGCCTCAATTCAACCTGGAACCTCTCTCATACAATAATACAATACTGTGTGTGCGCGCGAGTGTGTGTGTGTGTGTGTGTGTGTGTGTGTGTGTGTGTGTGTGTGTGTGTGTGTGTGTGTGTGTTGTGTGTGTGTGTGTGTGTGTGTGTGTGTGTGTGTGTGTGTGTGTGTGGTGTGTGTGTGTGTGCTGTGTGTGTGTGTGTGTGTGTGTGTGTGTGTGTGTGTGAGATGGATCGTTGGAGCTATGTGCAGCTCAAGGCATATGCTCGAACGGGAGCTGCCTGGACGCTGCAATCATGTTGCGCGCACTATCCGTGCTGAGTGTGCTGACTTTTCGTTCAATGTCCCACTGTCTGGCTTCCTGCATAAAGTCAAGTGCTCGGCGCAGTTGTGGCGAAATGTCGCTCCTCTGTTTTCTCTCGCTCGCTCGGGCCACACATACACACACCCTCCCGGTCCTCCCAACAGCCAGTCGGTGCCTGCCGGTGAGCGTGGAAGTGTGGTCTGCCACAAGCGGGCGGCAGGAGCGTGGCTGTCAGCATCAGCTTGTAGATGGTATTTTAAACTCGATGCGCTCTGAAACTACGGGGCGGCCGAGGAAAAAAAATACACATGCGTTAATCGCGTTAAAATAATTAGTGGCGTTAATTTTTTTTTGCGTTAACGCGTTATTAACGCATTAACTTGACAGCCCTAGAATACTCAAAATACCAAACAGATCACCCATTCTAGCCATGCCTCATATCCCTCTATTTCACTTCCTGTTTCAAAAGTGCTGATTTTGGGTATAAAGAGGGGAGGAGCTTATGCCTGCTCATGCGGGAGATTCTACCGGCAGATACTGCCGTGATGAAACGCCATATCATGGATTATCAAGGATTATCTCTGAAACAGTCTGGAGCTCAAAGGCTTTCTCTCTTGCCGGTTATACCACAAGGTGAGTTCCTTTTAATTTCCTGCTTCTTCACACACATGCTCTCCAGTACAGGTTAGCTCTGAGTGTTAGCGATGCTAATGTAAACACCGACCATATTATGTCCAAAACAGGACATCGTATTTACAGGGCTACATGTACACACCTAGAGACATTGACAAGTACCAACAGTATATGTATATCTCTGTCAATAAGCCTCACCTTCTTGGCAACAACTGTATTGTGTTTGAAGTGGTGGAGAGACAATGCACAGTTTGACCCACTGCTGTCACCCTTTGCCAAAGCATATCTCTCTGTCCCAGCAACATCAGTACCAAGCAAGAGAGTTTTTCCACAGCAGGGGATTTTGTAAACGCCCAAACATCCCAGCTTCTACCTGGAAATGTGGACATGCTCATATTCCTAAAAGATAACCTTGATGATGCTGAGTGAGTGAGTGAGTGAGTGAGTGAGTGAGTGAGTGAGTGAGTGAGTGAGTGAGTGAGTGAGTGAGTGAGTGAGTGAGTGAGTGAGTGAGTGAGTGAGTGAGTGAGTGAGTGAGTGAGTGAGTGAGTGAGTGAGTGAGTGAGTGAGTTAGAGTTGAGTTACTTGAAAAACTAAAGTGAAACTTGATTTATTCTATTGCAGGCTCTGATTATTATATTGTTGACACTTTAAAATACTACTATCCTACTAAAATGCGGTACAAATCAGATTTCTTATTTAATAAAGAAAAAATTCATGAAAAAAAAAATATATCGCGATAAATATCATACCGTGGACTTTTTATCGCGATATTATCGTACCGTGAGTTTTTGGTATTGTTACATCCCTACCAAATATAGATTCATCCACTGCTAAAAATAGTCCCCAATATAATATTTTCTCCTGTTTGAGTAACATCAATAAAGTATCGATAAAGAATTATGATATGATCTCACTGTATTCTCTACCATGTGCTTTAGTAAGGGTAATCACAGACAACAAAGAGAATCAGATACAGCACATGGCTTGGCGATGTATATAAATATCATGATATGCAACTAGACATCGTCTTAGATTTTGGGTAGTGTAATAAACGTATATAAGTCATAAGTAATTGTGTACTGTAAGATGATGTATTTCAGAATGTAGCAGCCTGTTCTAACTCTTCCGTTATTTCCATTCAGCCACTAATTCATTGTATCCACATGAATCTCATTAGGTCATATTTTATGAAATCATTAATGGTCTCCCTACCATATGGTATGGTATTGTATTGGTATTTGCTCTTAAATATAGTGATTATGTTTCCAAGCCCTGCCAGAGTATCTTTCCTGTATGCATATTAAAGGAGGAGGATCTAAAGCCTGGTCAGAAGATGTACGTCGAGCTATTCATATCATCAAACAATGCTAGTTCATTTGACCGTGTCCTGCACCTCTATGTTACAAACAAGCCAACATCGTGTTAGACCCTTGATGAGTGCAGTAATAGTGGTCTCACTCACAGGGCCCTGCAGTGGAAACAGCAGCCTCTGGGTATCTATACGTGTGATCCGTGTGGGGACATTACAGGGCTCGGCCATGATGAATGGCAGCTCAACTCCTTTCTCCTGTGGGCGTTCTGACAACGGGAAATGTTAAATACACCCTCCCTCTTCATGTATTCTCTTCCTCCCACTCAGGGGACTGGCAGCAGGGCAGGAAGTCCTTTTTTACCAGGCTAAATGCTTTAATTAATCCTTCTAACCTCTCGGGGGGAGACAAAGAGGTAATGCCATCAGCCTCATTAGAGCTGCTGCCTCTGCACTCTGCTCTCCTTCAGCTGCCTAGCTCACCTGGGTTAGTGGCACCTACTGTACGATAAGAGCAGGAACAGGGCTAGAATAACCAGGAGACGCACATGAACTAAATATAAAAAATACTTGAAAAGGTTTGAAAGAAAGTTAAGTACCTCCATTTTTGTGCTGAAGTTAAAAATGTAGGTACTTGTACTTTACTTGAGTATTTTCAAATGTTGCTACTATACTTATACTTGTATAAGTTGTTATTCACTCTGCGTCCCCCTCAGAGACCTCAAAGGTCTTTCATCATGGTGTCCATTTGAAAAACCTTGTTGCGGTTGAATGTACAGAAGACAGCCCAAAGACAGGTCTGATTACTTAATGTTGGCCTCAGTGGAAACAGAGGGGTAATCTGCATATTGAATATTGTGTGAAATACAGCAAGCGGTCCAGAATGAAATGAGGCAATGTTACAACTAGGAGGAGCTTCGTCAGGCAAACATCAAACATTCCGAAGATCTCAACCTTTCGCTGTAATGAAGGACTGATTGTATCCCTTCTTATGAACAAAATATTACATTTCATCCTAACCCTTCTAATGAGCAACCTCAGCAGCTCTCTCTCTCTCGTTGCGGTGATGTAAAGTGTGCTCCAGAGTGTGTCATCACATGTGTGTGGGTGCAATGTAACACACATCTGACCACACCTATCTCTGATGCCGTCTGATTCTGCAGACTGAATCAGAATGTACATCATTACTCCTGGAAGCACAACAGATCTCTCCATTGCTAAATCCTATGTTATACATCCCAGCAGTCCACCTCGTTTCCTTAAGTCAATCAAAGCTTTGTGCGTCGAGGGTCTAATATTACTCATCATCTTTTTTTGTTATTTCCTCCGAAGTTCAACCAAACACAGAGGTTTCAAACTGCTGGGGGGTGAAGGGCACAGAATAATTGAAGGGGAGGCAGCAGGAGGCTAAGGGTGCATCTCACTTCTGTTAAATGGATTCCTTGCGTCCCTCACTTGCGTCCTTTCCCTGCGTCTAGTCCCTCCCACCAGGGCAGCATGGAGAGACGCAAGGAAACCACGAGAAGCAGGGAAATGAGTTTTAAGAGCAATGGGACGTCCTTTCCTCGGCGTTTGTGATGACGCCGCACAGCTGATTGTCTGACAGCAGCCAGATCAGTGCATGCGCTGCATCGTCCAATCAGTGAGCGATACACAGTAAGGGGGCGGGGCGAGTGTCTGATCGATTATCGCTCCTCCGTTATCGCTCCTCGGTCCTGCGGCACAAATAAGGCCATTGGGACGCTACTCAAGATGGCGCAGGCAAATCAACTTCCGGTGACACCGAGACCGAGGAGCGAGGAAATGAAAAATAAGAGAAGTGAGACGCACCCACAGATGCTATGTGAGGTGAAGGGGACAGGTGCATGCTGGGGTTCTAAAAACAACAGGAAATAGGTGATTGCAGTTTGACACACTGATTTTTCAGCGGGTGCAGAAGCAGTATTTCCGCCTTACTCAGCTTACAAAGGGAGTTATGCTATTACAACCTTACCTCCTTAAACAGACTGTATGAGAGACAAGAGTTGGGACTCTCTCTTCAGTATCAAAGTCATCCATGGTCAGTTATACATGGGTCCATTTCAAACAGGAACTGTATATAGTTAATTTTGCACACCTTTAATTATGAACTATATGTATTGATTATTAATTTAATAATAATTTAAAGATTGTTATTATTTTATTCAGAATAACAGAAGATAAAAGGGGTAATGGGTAATGTCATTATTTTGAACAGTTGTTAATCCTCTCTATTCTATCAATCTTTTCACCTGTGGTTGGATGGGTATGGTTGGTTTTCAAGACGTGTAACCACTTTGTATGAGAACTATATTCTTCTGTGGTATTGTTGCATTCACGTGTATTTAAACTACCAATTTCTTTGTTATCTAAACTGTGCTGAGTTATTATTTTCTACGTTGCATATCCTTGCTGTTTGTTCATCCTCACAGGCTCCATTAAACCCCACATACAGTATCAGTGCTTGCTACAGTGAGTGTTCAGAGGCCTGCTGAAGGTCGTCCAATGATAATCTTCCTGAGACTGTGTGTTGTGTTGCCCCCCCCCCTCAGGCCTGGCCAGAGCCAAGTCGGTCCCCAGCCACACCTACTCCAACGAGGTGGTGACCCTGTGGTACCGGCCCCCTGATGTCCTGCTGGGGTCCACAGAGTACTCCACCTGCCTGGACATGTGGTGAGTACTCCTAACCCTGACCCCCCTCTCCACCCTATTTCTCCATGGTTAATTCCGGTGCGATCTAGATCAGATTTTCTTCACAACACCAATTTAAAACCCACTTATGTTGAGCCGATCCTAACCTGAGAGTGCTGCCTCCTGTAGAATGCTTTAGAATGTTCCTTGGATCAATCTCTCTCCGATGGATTACAGATATGGATGATTCGTGATGCAGTGTAATTCACATTTGTCTATATAACAACAATAGGTGAATTAACAGACATTGTATGCCCCGAATAAACTGATATTAATCTAAGAAGGTCTGAATGATTTTAGAAATTGTTTTAAATTGCATCTTTACTGACAAATAATCAGATTACATTGCATGAGAAATATCAATTTATCTGACATTTAGCGAGATATAACTTAAGTGGGGTAGTATGTTTCTCAATTGTAATGAATGAAAAACGATGTGTATCATGCTGACGACCCTGCTCACCATGTGCTCTGTGGCTGGAGAATGGGAACACCATTAGGCACAAATATCAATTGTTATCAAACCTGGCAGCTGACTCGTGACATGTAGGATGGTCTGCACTTAACCAGTGATCTGATAGCAGAGCTCCCAGATATGATTACATGAAAAGTGGCCACATGTGTAGCATGCAAACAACACATTAGCAAAGATACAGGGAGGCATTATCACATACTTGCTGAACAAGAACTACACACAGATCAAGCTTTCTTTATAAATATCATTATGTTCCACCTTCATTTCATTTTGACTGCTGATACAATCTCTCCAGAATATTTGCAGAGAGGCTGAAATATATTGCGGTTATCTTCTGGTTTTAAATCAAGTTGTGCAGAACTGTAAAAGTGCTTGAAAAGGAAGTGGAACATGAGCTTGCCCCAGAGGGGGGGCTACCTGCTGGTCCCTCTCCTCTCAGGCTTCCTGCCACCAAAACTCTCAGTGGAGCCTCGGTGACCCTCTCTGTCTGGACAGTCCGCAGGGACATCCCACAAACCCCTGCTGCATGTTCCAACATCCAATTAAAAAGCAGTTGGGGGCTTTGGGGTCTGAGAGGCAGAGGGAAAGTGTGACTGCTGCAGGTGGGCAATCTACAGGTGGTGTTCCATCCGACTGAGAGTCACGCTGCGACACACACACACACACACACACACACACACACACACACACACCCACACACACACACACACACACACTCACCCCTGGTCCCTTAGGAAGCAGTGTTCCATGAAGCAGCGTCTCTTGGTGGAGCAGATCTGGCTTCCTGCCATGTGAGCATCCATCACAGCCTCACACTGCAGCCTGCAGGTTACAGGCTGCGGAGAGACAAAGAGCGGCTCTATTTCTACCTTCCTGCAGCTCTCACACACGCCTGTCAGTCCGTCAGAGCTCAGATCACTGGAGCGGGATCATGCACAGACGACAATGGCTGGTGTTATCCAATACTTTCCCTGTTTTACACAAATACCATGAAAAGACCAAAAGCAACTTTAGAGTACGTCTGTCTGTTTATACCCTCCTCTGTCTGTGGCTCTCAGCTCCAAGCTCATTGGTTCCTACTGCAGATGTTCATTTAAATGGCTCTTACATTATGTGTGTGTGTGTGTGTGTGTGTGTGTGTGTGTGTGTGTGTGTGTGTGTGTGTGTGTGTGTGTGTGTGTGTGTGTGTGTGTGTGTGTGTGTGTGTGTGTGTGTGTGTGTGTGTGTGTGTGTGTGTGTGTGAGTAAAAGTGCGCAGAGCAGAGATGTTCAGAGAGACTAAGAGCAAATGAGTGAAACTGAGTAAGAGAGATTATTTGCACAGCACAAACCTGATTCCTCTTTGCTTAAAAAAATTATGTATTTTTTGTTGACATTTTCCTCTGTGCTCAAAATGATCTATTGCTCTCCAAATATGTATAGAATACCTCCGGCCGTACACTAACCTGGCGTCTGGATTCATTCAAAGGAAAAATACGTCATAAATGATAACTCATTTTGAGTGAGAGGTTCTTGTTCTTGTAACTGTCACAACATGTCAGTGGAATATTTTCCATGTCACATGTACACAGCTGCTCTCTTTTACCACCTGCAGGTCATTCATTTATTGGAAGTAGGACTGTGCAATACCTCTATATGATATTGTTATTCTAATATGAGTCTCGATATCATCTTACATTTTGACATAAAGTGTCTTAGCCTGCATTTAAAGGCAGTAATGTTTTTTTTCTTTTTATCCACTTAGCCATTATTTTCACCTAACAAATGATTATTTATCAAAAGTATGTTGTTAAAGCACAAATATTCAACCCTACATTATCGTTGCAGTATCGATATTAAATACCGTTGATGTTCTGCATATCGCTCAGCCCGTATTGGAAGCATAGTCCCACTGCAGCCTCCTTTAGTGGGAACCCCTCCATGTGTGTGTGTGTTGTGTGTTTCCTGTGGAGACGCAGATCTCCTTTCAGCTCGGTCTGCTGCCATCAGGAGGGTTCATTAACTGTCTGTTAACAAACAGCCCTGTATTTACCCAGGCTAATTCAGTGTGTGCTAAAACTACAGGAGCGCAGCTGGCCCACTGATGGACTAATTAAGATCTTACAGACTGTAATGGAAGAATATCAATTCTCCATTGCTGCAGTTCACACAGATTACAGAGCAGGGTCAGAACCAGGTGATGAGTCCGTATACAGTAGGTACACGTAACCTTTAAATCAAATAAATCAATAGATTTTATGATCATGGATCAGATCATCAGGCACATGGAGGATGATGTAGTGTTAAAGTAGAGAAGGGGTACTGCAGAGGGGAGGGGCTGGACCTTCAGTGACAGGGATAATGATGGTATGAGTAATCTGAGCAGGAAGCAGAATACATGTTGGAGCTGGATAATAGCTGCAGCGTTAAATCACAGACTGTGTGAGCAGCAGGAGTCTGGAGCAGTGGGAATATCACTACATAAGAAACATGACTCCAGTGTAATGCGCTATATTTAAAAAGTGAATGTCGTGATTATTTTCTGATGTAAGAATAATAACTCATCTTTAAATATCTTATCTCAACCAACGATATTTATATGTCATAATTGAATATTTCTAGGTTTTCTAAAGGAAGACTGTGTTTTAAAGATTTGTATATTGTATTCTGAAGACATTCTGGTGTGAGTATTTATTCACATGGCTTTTATCAAGTGTAGCAACACATACACACACATACTGTAGGAGACACAATCAACATACGCATCTGTATGTAAAAGACTAGGCTTGGCTCCATACTGTATATATATATATGCATTTAAGTATACGAAACATATGCACATATATGTGTACATGTAATTTGCTCACACACATGAAGTTTTAGTTATGGTACAATTGATTATGGCAGCAAATCTCTAAATGATGAGGACACGTTAAAAACCTCCAGTGGTTTTGTTGTAACGAAGTTTTGATCAGTCAGTATTTAATGATGAGGTCTCGTCGCGTGTTCTTCTCTCTTCAAGGGGAGTGGGCTGCATTTTCGTTGAGATGATCCAAGGAGTGGCTGCCTTCCCCGGGATGAAGGACATCCAGGACCAGCTGGAGAGGATATTCCTGGTGAGTGAGGGATGCTGCAGAGTGTGTGTGTGTGTGTGTGTGTGTGTGTGTGTGTGTGTGTGTGTGTGTGTGTGGTGTGTGTGTGTGTGTGTGTGTGTGTGTGTGTGTGTGTGTGGTGTGTGTGTGTGTGTGTGTGTGTGTGTGTGTGTGTGTGTGTGTGTGTGTGTGTGTGTGTGTGTGTGTGCAGTGTTTCCCACATAATTTGATTCTATTTGTGGGGGCACCCCCCCGGCGGGCACCCTCCCCCCGTGTTGTAAATGAGTGAGCCACACCGGAGTTGAGGATCTGTGGGGTTTATTCTCCCAAAAATATAATTAGCAGATGCCTTATTCCAAAGTGATTTACATTAGATTACTACATTTACATTTAATTACATTCTCCTGTAACTGAGGGCTAAGTGCCGAGTTCAAATCCTGACTGGAACACCACCACTAGGATGTCTAACAAACAAACAAAATAAAATTTGGCTCGGCTACACAACGCTTCAGATGTTCAGACAATGTGCAAACTTTGCAGCCTACTTGTTGCAAAGTTTGCACCCTTTGTCTTGACATCCGATTCTACGGGGCTTCCTGAACAAATATTCTAATGCCCTATCTCAAGGGAAGGCCTCAGGACAGGGTCCATTTATGGAGATCTTCAAGCAGGCAGCCAGGTGTTCTCCTTGGAGCTGGTTTCGGAGGTCTGTTTTCACCTGAGGAGGAAGCAAAATGGAATACCACAAACTGCACTTTTTTTATGAAAAATATTTTTTTTTACATTCTTTTTTTAAGAGATCTATTTGTGGCGGACGATATTTATTTGTGGCGGCTCGCCACAAATAAATCAATATATGAGAAACACTGGTGTGTGTGTGTGAGCTGCGGATATAAACCATACTTCAGAAATGCAGGCAAGGACTTTTGCGTTTTGCTGTGGTGTTTTCAAAAGTTCCTACCAATGCTGACTTCCAATGCTCAACAGTTTCCAATAATATACATATTGATATTCTTTGGTAGGTATTCTAGAAGTATTGGGGGGGGGGAAATACAGTGTTTTAACCTTAAAATCTCCTTATTAAAGTCATAATCTAAAAAGTACAGATGCTGGTAAAACGTGTTTTTTAGTAGAGCATTTTTTGTATTTTACATTGAGACATATTGCTGTTTTCAAACTGCAAGAGGCTGCACTCTACCAAGAGGGAGTGAAACAGGCTCTTGTACGACCTTGATATCTGTGCTGTATCAAAACCAGCCGTGTTCCATGTCAACTCTAAATTCACTCATTTGGGCCAATGCTTCAAATGTGTTTAAAAATTCACTCGACATGAAAGATCTTTTCATTATTCAGTGAGGTGAAAAGGTGGAGGAACATGATGAGGTTCAGCGTCTGTCAGAAGAGCTCTCATCTGCCCTGCTCCGTGTCCTTTGGTGTGCAGTGTGTGTTAAAGATGGGGTAGGTCATTTTGGAGAAACCAGCTCGAGTGCGTTAGAATTTGAAAATACACAACCGGAAAAAATCTACCACTTCCTCACAGAGCCCCTCCTCCAACACACACGAACACGCACATGACCAATGAGGGCACGAGATAAGTTTGTGCACAGATGGAAGGCTGACAGGCAGGTAGGCCATCCAGTTACTTTAGCCGGGCCGGCTCAGATGATTGGTCGTGCTTTTTACAGAACTACAGCTTCCACAGATGACATTTATTATGTATTTATTGTCAAAGCATTTAATATATTCATTGCTATCGGGATGTTAAGAGCATTCCATGGAATATAACAAAAAGTGTTTCTGAAATAAATTACATACCCCACCTTTAAGCAGCAAATGCTTATATTCAATTAATTGTATTACTGTAAAATTACAAGTGATGAGACATAATAGAGACATGTGAAATGGGACTCCCAGAAAAGTTGTAGAATATGGGCCCAGACACAGAACAGAAGGTAAAATATATCTCACCAACACATCTAAAATTGCAGAGAGTTTTATACAGAAACAAGCTTAAAAAATCACCTAACACTAACCAAATACCCTAGAATGAACCCAACTCCAGCTACTTAATGTTCCCAATGCCTTCATTTAATCTGTCTAAATATACACTCTATAATATGTAAGATTAAATAAACACAAACAATGACAAGGTAAGAACATGGCACAAATGAAATGCTTTTTAAAATAACTTGTACAGCATTGATTCTGGCTTAAATGTAAACACTCGGACAAGTTGATCAGGCTCATTTATTTCTGAGTGATGACATCTGTGTATGGTTTATGTTGCCACGTGCTGATGGCAAGGACCTGATGTAAAAGCATGAATCACTATAATCACACAGCTCAGGTCTACAGGCCACAGGATACACTGATGCTGAGCGGCCGTATCTATCACAGTAGCACAGCCTCTCACACAGCACCTACTGTATCCTCTCTACATGGGTTACAGGAATATTAGAGTCACATCCACAGAGCTTCTTAAATGGTATGAGTACAGGGTTTGCAGAATAAATGCAAGTCCAAACAGTAAGTAAGAAAACAAATTACACAGGTTTTTATCCAAATCGAATAAAAACAGGTGCATCAACACCAGTGGCGAGCCGTGACTTTTCTACCTAGGCCCTCTGACCCCACCCCCCTCTTCCCTCGAAAAAAAAAAAAGAAAACGTTTTTACGTCACAGCCTATAGTATACTTCAGCGGAATATCAAAACAGCGGCCCGGGGTGCAAAACGCATCAATGACAGCGACCCTCTACCACACAAAACAACACCATTTATATAAACACCTATCATGACAGGACACCCACAGCCAAGTAACAATTACAAATGAATTAAGTCGGCACGGCGGCCCACATTGAAAATCACTTTGACTTACCTTTGATGATCAAATCACCTAAACACAAAGTCCATCCTCCTGTCTTTTTGGATGAAGAACTTGATGGCGTCGTCATGCAGCTGATCCTTTGCTTTTAAAGCAATCAGCAATTCCTTCTCGATCGAAATTAAGGCCAAGTCTGACAGTCGGACTTGCCCAGTCGTGGACCTCGAGTAGCTTTTTATGCGCTTCAGCGCAGAGAAGGACCTCTCCACAGAGGCAGTGGACACAGGTATTGTCAGGATGATGCATGAGAGGGTGTACACCTGTTTCATGCTTTCACTCAGTCCTTTTTTGAGGAGAAACTGATGAATGTCGGCTGGGCTTTTCCCCAAAATGTCAGACATGCCGTACATCACGGCGAGTTCCGTGTGCAGTCGAGGCTGGTCGAAATATCCGCCATAGCTCTCCATCAAACTGTTCAAGGCAGCAGTTGGGAAATAGTTACAGTAATGCCCGAACTGTTGCGGGTCCAGAAGGGCCAGGAATTCCAGCTTTTTGTGGTCACTGAAGCGGTTGGAAATCTGGGTTAGCAGGCTGTCAATTACGCTGCAGTGGAGCTCCCTGTACCGTGCACGAACGTCTCCTTGAGACCACGGCCGCGCGGAGGACCAACCAAAGCCTGGGTTTCATCGTAGACGCTGTCAAAGTTCCCCTTCTCCTGTTCAATTTGTCGCTGTAGCTGATCCACTCTGGCCAGGCAGAACTGCATATCAAAACCTTTGTTCTGAAGTATTTCAAAAACAACATCCGAGTAGGAGAAGATAGCGTGGAAGGTTTTCAACCAAAAGCTGAAATCGAAGCTGGTAAGGAGGGTGATGTATCCATCAGAGCAATGAACAGTTTCGTCATCAAACTCTGTGTGATGGTCTACGATGTGCTCGAACACCTACGAGAGTAATGCTTAGTTTAGAAAAAACAACTTATAGACCTCCAGTAAACACTAAGATTAGCTTTTCATTTAATGTAATACTAGCATAGTTCTTTACCTTCATGTTTTTATGAGTGGGTAGTTTCCAATACTAAATCATTTCTTTATTATTGTTAATATTTCCATTACGTTCATTGTTATTATTATCTTACCTCTCTCAATTCCCTGGTCTTATCTGCCACTGTGCACACCAAGCAAGAATGAAAGCACCAGCGAGTAGGAGCTGCCCGTGGAAGCCTATGCTGGCAAATATCATCCAGTAGCTTGGTGCGCTTTGCTGAGCGGCTGAAAAAGGTGGCCAAGCCAGAGAGGTGGGAGAAGAAGACCTTACACTCTCTTATCTTGGAAGCTCCCTTTGACAAGACGAGATTTAAGATGTGAGCATAGCAGTGAATGAAAAGGGCCTGTGGAATTGTTTCCTTAACTTTCGCTTGCACCCCATTCAATCCAGAGGCCATAACAGCTGCTCCATCGTAGCACTGCGCGACCACTTTGTCAATACAGCCACTCTCCCTCAGGAACTCCAGCAGCCGTGTAGCTATGGCCTCTGCTCGTTTGTCCTCTGTCACATCTTCGTACTTGAAGAAACGCTCTTTTATCCCATCGTCAGTGACATATCGAAGCACATATGACATCTGCGCCACGTTGCTAATGTCTGTCGTTTCATCCAACATGACCGCAACAAAAGGTGCCTTCCTCAGCTCCTCTTTCATGCTATCCGTCATTACACTAGCGACAGCGCTGATCAGGTCATTCTGAATCCTTGAAGATGTGCCGGTAAATACTGTTGATGTGGCGAGGTGTGTGTGCAGGTCGCTGTCATATTCTGCCACTAAATCCAGCAACTCTATGTAATTCCCCTTGTTTGATGAAGTTACACTCTCATCGTGACCTCGGAACGGCAACTCCTGCTTGCCCAAGTACACCACACAATTTATCAGGCGTTTCAAAATTCCTCGGTTCCTCTTCACCTTTTCATTATGAAGGATGACACCCCGGCGTTGTTGCTCATCCAGCTGGAGCTCTATCCTGGTGTCCCCAAATGTTTTAAGCCGAATAGTAGCTCTGAGGTGACCTGAAGCATTCTGATGGCGATGTGCTGATTTGGATAAACTTCCTAAATCAGAATATCCATCTCTGGCCCATGACCCACTGTCCGCTCCAAAAAGCAAGCAATCCCAGCAGTAGGCTACAGCTTTTGTTCCCTGGTTGATCCG